TAGTTCAATATTTATAGATTAAATAGTGTATTATGGTAGGCACCTAAAAAGTTTAGAGTTTTGTTTTAATAATAAAAATAACTAAGTTCTACATTCCGCAGTAAAGAGTACGAAACCATTAACAGTACGTTTTAATTCATCGGTGGGTATTACGAATGTTATTTTACTTTGCAATTAGAAATTAGGCACTAAAACAACTTGTATTTCTGGATTTGTAATAGCGCCATACTTTTAGGGGCTAAAAAACATGTATACAATGATTACAAGTTTTACAAATTAAGGTTAGACTGGAAATCAAAAGAAGGTTACGTTTTCAATTCCAATTGGACGTTTATTGAAGGTTCTGTATCTTATCAAATCCATCTTTAGGTATAACAATTTGTAAAACTTTTTGCTCTTTAATCCACTACAATAAAATAAGTACGAAAATTACCAGTGTCTATAAATTTTTTGGTCGATAGTATTTACTATAAATATTAGTTTTTCTCCAGTAAGAAATACTGAGGGTACCGAAATTGATTCAAAGTCAAATAACTCATTAGTTTCTAATTATGTCTTGTATTAATTGATACTAGTTACATCTAAATAATGTTCTCATCGATAAGTAATTGATAAATAATCGATTGAATAACGGAACGCCAAAAATACAGACCCGAAGGTACAAAATTTTGTGAAAGTTTTTATTAAATTATCGTATACACCAATAAAACGCTTGACAAAAAGAAAGAATTAATCCAAAAAGTTCATTCAGTTGACACATCCCTCACACATTGCTATGTCAAATGCTAAGTCACGGTTGTTTAACGTTAGCGTTCCATTGTTTACGTTCAATTAATTATCAGTTACACATCAAAGAGAGCATTGGTTTTCGATCGGTTTTATATCATATCAATTGATGGGAGATATGATTTTAAGCCAATATTTGACTTTGAAATCTCGCATTTATTGCAAATTTTGACGATGGTTTTGGTTACGATATATATTATCTTTATTTAAAGTTATTACCGTTTTTCATCTGCAAAAGTTTGGTAAAATCCTATTATCTAAACTAATTTTTTCAATAATAGCGAGTATAAACTAGGAGAGAAAAAATTAGAAGAAATAACTGATTTTTGGTATTTAGGAAGTAAAATAAGTCAAGACGGACGTTGTAGCAGAGATATAAAGCAGAGGATAGCGCAGGGTCGAGTTGCCTTCAATAAAAAGAAGTCACTTCTATTCTAAAGATGTATGTTTGGAGCGTGGCATTGTACGGGTGCGAAAAATTTAGAAGATTAAAAGTGTTCGAAATTTGGTGTTAGAGGCGAATGATGACGATACCGTGGATAGAGAAAATTAGAAATGAAGAGGTATTAGACAGGATAGGTGAACAGAGGATTCTATCGAATTCAATAAGAAATAGGCGAGATAGGTTGGTAGGACACCTTCTCAGGCATGAAGGGCTAGTTAGAGACATATTAGAGGAGTTAAGAGGAGTAGAGGTAGACCTAGATTAGATTACTGTTCTCAAATAGTTAAGGATGTAGGATGTTTTAATTTTAGGGAAATGCGAAAATTAGCTCAGGATAGGAAGGAGTGGAGGTACGTGTCCAACCAATCTTAGGATGATGACTTTAAGCTTTATTATGCCATTGATTGCTTTAAACGCGTATGTGGAACATATTTTCACCAACAATATCTCTTCCATTGAGAAACTTTCGATGGTAGAAGTCCATTTTTACACCATCACCACCAGCCAACACCCATCGCGTATAGAATTGTTATGCAAATTCTTCCGATACATTTTAAAAACGGAATTCGATATACGTATATAGGTGTATGTCGTAAAATGTGTTTATCGATTAATATGCGTCGCTAAATCCGGTGAAACCGACCACGAGCAAGTGTTTTCTTGTTGACACGAGCGCAGTATCTTTATATGGTAAACACGTGCGAAAGACTTTCACTATAACATCGCCGAAAATTAGAAACGTTCTTAACGATTATTCGAGCGGCTTATTTGCAAGATAAAATGGTGATAAGCGGCAGTATTTGAATGTTTATTACCTTCAACTCTTTAGTTAATGGGCGATGCAGTTTTTTTGCGAAAGTTGGTGTCACCAAATTCTCTGCTTGACTACTTTCTACATAAATATGTCAAAATCATTTCTAATTAGTTCAATATTTATAGTAGCAAATTTATGAATAATGTAAGTCTACATAAAATATTTTTCACTTTAGATAAGTCAGGACGGAAGAAGTAGTAGGGATATAAAGCAGAGAATAGCGCTCGCGAACGATTAATTTAGAAATTCGAAAAAAGTTGTTAAAGGTGTATGTTTGGTGCTCGGCGCTGCACGGGTGCGAAACATGGACAGTGGGCGGAAATGAAAATGTTAGAAGCGTTCGAAATGAAGAAGTATTAGAAAGAATAGGAGAACAAAGGACTATATGGAAGTCAATAAAAAATAGGCAAGATAGGTTGGTAGGACACCTTCTCAGGCATGAAGGTCTAGTCAGAGACATATTAGAGACAGAAACAGGAGTTAGGAGATGTAGAGGTAGACCTAGGTTAGATTACTGTTTGCAAATAGTTAAGGATGTGGGTTGTTCTAGTTAGGACGGAGCGGCATGGCCTAGAGGTTTAGACCATTGCTTAGCATTCGGGAGGACGCCGGTTCGATTCCGGGTCCGTCTGCTTTAGTTCAAGTTTTTCTGTGGTTTCCTTGGATCACTTAGGCAAATGCTGAGGCAATAATATTCCACAGATAATCTTTCATTCTCTTCTGTCTTCATTTCGTCCGTCTCATCTTTCTCACCTGATCCACCACCCACCCATTCCCACGATTCCTGAACGCAGACTGAAGAGAGCCTTCCGCCCTACCTTCCGGTATAGTCCGGAGGGACTGCCCGTCCACCAGCATTACTGGCTGGTGGGAATGAAACACCCAAAAGTTTTTTTTTCTAGTTAGGGAAATGCGAAGATTAAGTCAGGATAGAAAAGAGTGGAGATACGTGTCCAACTAGTCTTAGGATGATGACTTTAAGCTTTATTATGCCATTGATTGGTTTATTCATTTTTTAATCAATTGAGAAGCAAACAGTTTGCCTCTTTTGGAGGTTTCCACACTTGCCTCCTGGGATAGCATATATTCCCCCTCTCTTCTCCCCTTCTGGGATAACATGTCTCCCCCTTCTCTTCTTCCCCCAGCAGGTAATGGCAAATCACACTCTAGCTTAAAATTGTCTCATTCAATTTTGTAAATTTTGTCCATTTTTTTCATGGTTTTACTCAACTGTGTCTCCTATTCATTTCTTATAGTATGAGAAACTTTCTTAAGCGGCGCTAAAGTGTACCATGACCTTTTCTGGAAAAGAATAGAAGAAAAAAACTTATTTAGTGTGATTTCTTTGTTACAGAAAAGCCCTCTTCAGTATACGAAACGATGGACGAGAAAAAACATACCCGAGTGGGTGGCACGAAAGTTTCACAAATCGCGAACATCTTCCAAGGCGGTAAGATAGCGAGTAAGGAGGACATTCTATTTCCGCTTAGGAGTAAATCCAAGGGCGACGAACATGGCGTCTCTGACAAAAAAGACATGGACGCGCCAACGGTGACTGTGATTCGAACGGAATCACACGTGACACGGTTTAATAACGCTCGCGCTCTATTCGAAAAGCTCGGGGAAGAGAATAAATGCAACAACAAAGAACGAGTATTTCCGTTGCAGTCGACGAAAAGTGCAAGCAGCATATTGGACTCGAGGTCTCGAAGTAGTTCCGCGAACAGCGAAACCCGCGGAAGCGACTATAAGTCTCGGTCGCCGTCTCCAAAAAGTTTCGACACCAATTTGAACAGTTTCAGTAGCAGCGTGCCGGTATTGAACGACGCGAATCTAAACGAGACTAAAACGAACGGCCATGCGATCAACGGTGGCTTCGAACGAACCAAAAACGTCGACGATATCGACAGGACTAAACCGAAAAAGCCTGAAAAACCGGAACGAAAGTTTAACAGTCGCGAACTGATCGAAAAACAACGGAACTGGACTTCGCATTTCACGAAAACCCGTGCCGCAAGTCGATACGGTAGTGACGCGAATCGGGTAAGTGCTAATAATGGTCAATCGGCTGCCGCAACTCGAAGCGCGTCGTTTAATAATCGATCTCGCGAATCTTCGATAACGAACACGTCACCTCCCTCTTCCGATAACGCGGAAGTGAACCGGAGGTCGAATTTCGTGCGCAAAAACCGACCCGCTTCAGTCATACCAACCACCAGTCCAATCGCCAATGAAATTCCTAACACCAATAGCAAAGGACCCGTCACTCCGCCGCCGAAAGACTATCCTAAAGCACCCACAGTTGGTCCCGGAAACGTAAACGAATCGAAAGGTCCTACTTCTAATAAATACATAAAGTCAGACCTCGGTAGTAGACGCGGTTTCGTGCCGAAAACGTTGTACAATAAGTCAGACGATGTTTCGAATGATAGTGGCGGTAGTGTCGATGAGTTACGACGCGATTCCCCGATCAAATCGTCTCCTAGTCAGGAAAGCCTTAGGCCTCCGTCAGCCTCATCGGCTTCGCCGAGATCTCCTTCTAGTAGTAAGAGTCCAGTGGAGGATAAGGAAAGGAACAGGGACAGTTTTTCGGGAAGCTTGTCGTCCATTAGTCCACCAAGCAGTCCCAGCAGAGTCAAGACTGAAAGTGAAAAACAAGAGAAGGAAGGAAGCGAGAAAGAGATAAATGGTAAGTCCAAACTACACCTATGCATTATGTATCCTATTTTAATTAATTTATTGATCACATTGGAAATTAAAAGACAATAAGTGTGAATAATTTCGGTCATCTCATTGCAATTCTGATAAATCTACTGATTTGTTTTGTACTAAAGTTATTGTGGTGGGGTGAGTCAAATATGACTTCAACGAGTTTTATTTTATTTTTGATCAAACGATCGGTATCGATTTTGGACCAGTTACCAGTTGAGTTAGACTAGCGCATTGTTCTTTAAATTTATTGAACAACCTAATTGACTTTTAATATTGGATTTTTGGATCACATTGGAAATTAAAAGAGAAGTGTAAATATTTTTGGTCATCCCAATGCAGTTCTGATAAATCTACTGAAGGCTATTGTGGTGGGGGGAGTCCAATATGACTTTAATGACTTTTATTTTATTTTTGATCAAGTCTTGCAAACGTGGTCTGTTTCTGTATCGATTTTGGACCAGTTACCAGTTGAGTTAGACTAGCGCATTGTTGTTTAAATTTACTGAAAACCATTATATAGACCAAACAGCATCCACCGTACCTGCCAGACCAGGTTCCTATTTAATATGTAACAAACTATTTTACTTACTAATTATGTCTTAACAGCGATTCTTTCTACATCAGGAGTATCTAGTTGTTAAATTCTTCATTCATCAATTCTGCATTATTGCAGTAACATTTTTGAATACCTCTTTTTTTTTACAATCGATTAACTTTACAAACCGCGAACATAATTTCTTTTTGTTTTTACTTAAGTAGTGTTAAGTGATTAAACAGTTATTCAAGTTGATAGCTTTCACTTATAGTTATTGCAATTATCACTATTGCCAATACTTCAGCACTTTAATTACCTTCGACACACACGCCTCTGTAAGATAAGATTTACTTAAATGAAACGTACTACCAACGTAGGTACATAAAATGCGTGAGTACTGTTAACACATTACTTACCATCTTGGTTGCACAAAAATAAGGATACACTGCGTTACCCGTGCAATATTTATTGGTTGGTAGGAAGTATCACTTTTTTGCAAGGTAACGTAAACGTAAGTCTTATTTTTTGACAAGAAAATTAATTTATAAATGGACTACGAAAAACACAAAAAATAACGACTTTGTTAAGAAAATTGGATCTCTTTTTGAGTTAATTGAATGTCAGTGCCATGAAAGTAATTATTGTCGTTAANTTATATACCTACGTAAAAAACAACAACAATAATTGTTTAAAGGATCAAAAAGCTTACGTACAGGGGAATTAAAAGAACATGGATAATTATTAATTCAAAGTAGCTACAGATAAAGACAGATTTACAATTTACTTTGTTGCCTTAAAATTAACGGGAAGATTAAGATGCATGTCTCTAACCAAGGTATCATAATTAGGTGTATATCCTGACAAAGATAATAATAATAATGAGTCTTCAGTATGGGAATCAGTAAGGACAGAACGTTATTTAGTCTACCTTAGCATCAAGTATGAAAATGCTGATGATCGATCGAAATTATCCTCGCGATCGACCGGTCGATCGCGATCGATTTGTTGGCCACACCTGGTATAGCTGATGGACGATGTGCTTATTTCTTGTTCTTTGTATGTTACGATCCTGCCTTTCTACATACACCATTACCATAAATGTTTCTATTTTTAAATCGTCTTATGCATCACGTTGCATGCGTTTTTCTCGTTCGAATAACCCCTGAAAATCAGCTTTAAAATTTCAAAATAGAATTGTGTCAAAACAATATTCGTTTGAGAATATTAATTAAAGATTATTTACTTTTTCGTGTGTTGAGAATTCTAAGATTCTTGAAGTTCAAGTATGCTGCGTCAATGAACTCATAAAAAGATAGTCTAGAAACGCTATTAAATAGTGTATTATGGTAGGCACCTAAAAAGTTTAGAGTTTTGTTTTAATAATAAAAATAACTAAGTTCTACATTCCGCAGTAAAGAGTACGAAACCATTAACAGTACGTTTTAATTCATCGGTGGGTATTACGAATGTTATTTTACTTTGCAATTAGAAATTAGGCACTAAAACAACTTGTATTTCTGGATTTGTAATAGCGCCATACTTTTAGGGGCTAAAAAACATGTATACAATGATTACAAGTTTTACAAATTAAGGTTAGACTGGAAATCAAAAGAAGGTTACGTTTTCAATTCCAATTGGACGTTTATTGAAGGTTCTGTATCTTATCAAATCCATCTTTAGGTATAACAATTTGTAAAACTTTTTGCTCTTTAATCCACTACAATAAAATAAGTACGAAAATTACCAGTGTCTATAAAGTTTGTGGTCGATAGTATTTACTATAAATATTAGTTTTTCTCCAGTAAGAAATACTGAGGGTACTGAAATTGATTCAAAGTCAAATAACTCATTAGTTTCTAATTATGTCTTGTATTAATTGATACTAGTTACATCTAAATAATGTTCTCATCGATAAGTAATTGATAAATAATCGATTGAATAACGGAACGCCAAAAATACAGACCCGAAGGTACAAAATTTTGTCCAATAACTTGAAAACGTTGGACAAATAGATGGTTTATAACCAAGAACCTCAAAACCAGTGAAAGNACGATGTTTCGAATGATAGTGGCGGTAGTGTCGATGAGTTACGACGCGATTCCCCGATCAAATCGTCTCCTAGTCAGGAAAGCCTTAGGCCTCCTATTAGAGGAGTTAAGAGGAGTAGGAAACTTATCAATCCACCCTCGTATGACACAATAAAAAATAAATATCTAAAGACAAAAGTTCCAATATCAGGAGGTGTTGCAGTTTTTGATAATATAGGTCTAGTTATTTATTAATAGAGGGTCTATAAAATAAAAGGACAAGTGTTGGGCGCAAGATTGATTGTCATAGGCGTAGTCTAAGGGGGAAGAAGGGGTGTGAAATGCATACTTGGTTATACACTGTGTTTCAGTATAGGGTGTATTCCAGCGAGGTATGGTTAGATAAGTAAAATATATGTTCAACACTATTTCTTATTTTTTAAATCACTCATGAAGAAAATCAAGTTCCAGACTCAACTTTTCATAGCATTATTCTGTACATGCAGTACCTAAAACATCCGATTTTCCCATACCTTTTTAAGATAGATTTTTACTAATTTAAAATGTAATTTAATCTTTTTATCAACTACAATGTATAAGTTGTTATACTATTTGTTCGTAAATATGAAAAAGTTGTTACAAAAAATGCACAGTATGACTAACAATTGGATTTCAATATTTCACTTTCGCATTTCTTTTTTGGGCCAGGCAAATTTATTATGAAAGAGTAACATGACTTCCTTTTTGCTAATCTATCAATAGCTCGCTTAGTACACCTCGTACTGAAATATATTTTTATAATTGTTAATATAATTTAT